ACCGGCAAGTCCAACAAGAGCTCACATAGCCATTCTGCTACTACAGAAGCTGTGTCAAAAGCAGTAAGTTCGGCTTTCAAGGTTGACCTCATCAAAATGACCTGTTTGCTAGGCCTCCATGGCTCCGCACCACCTCTAAGAGTAAATACATACCATCTAGTGGCGTAGAGTTCATCAACGTCAAATATCCATTTAGGCATTGTATCCCTCAAGCATATTGTTGGGTGCCCAGAATAATGAATTCCATAGCTCATTGTACCTTTAAGATAATGCAAGACCCTTTGAAGTGGATGCCAATGATCATCACTTGGGTTGGACATGAACCTACTCAATCTACTCATAGCAAAAGAGATATTTGGTCTTGTTGCGCTAGCTAAGTACATGAGTGAATCAGTAATCTGAGAGTGCCTCCATTGTTCTCTAGCTGTCTGTTGGTAATGTCCTGAAGAGGCAATCATACTTGTTATATGGATTGGGCCCATAATGGGCTAAAACATAATCCCTTAGGGGCATTAGTATACTTCTAATGGGCTTTTAACAAGGGACAACTTTAAAGCCCATGAGTGGAGGTAGATTATGTAACATTAATTAGTACCATATCACTAGTTGATGTTGAGATAGGGAGTTATCCTCCCTGTATAAATGTACCAACACCCAATGGGGAAGATAACTCTTGGTCCTTCCAAGTCTAAGCTTAAGCCCCCTTTCTCACCCTCTAAGCTGCATGCCAGATGCTAGCACACCGACGCCCAGTGTTCCATCTCCGCACGTCACTACTACAAAAAAACTTAACCGCAACCTTTTCAAAAACCCCTCAGAGGCGGGAACAATTTTGAATTGCCTCGGTTAATGCCTCAGATTAACCAAGGCGTCGCTTTTAATTAACCGAGACGGTCGCTTTTAATTAACCAAGGCGGTTACAAACAACCACCTCGCAAAATCGATTTACGGTAACCACCTCCTAAAATCTATTAACCGGCCCACCTCCAAAAACACCCCTATTTTTGGAGGCAGGCCTTTTTATTAGGACCGCCTCAGTTAATATGGCTAAGCCCACCAAAAATCCACCTCGGCCCATCCTGGCCTGACACCGCGTCACAGTATATATATTCAGAGAATGAAACCCTAAGCCCTCACTCTCTCCCTCACCCGGCCGCACATGCCCCTCGTGAAATCGCAACTCCTCTCGGTGTCTCCGTTGTGAGTCACGACTGCCTCTCCCTCGCGACAGCACTCTGACCACCCTCTCCCTTGTGACACCACTCCGGCCGCCCTCTTCCTCTCCCTCTCCACTCTGGCCTCCCTCTCCCTCTCGCTCTCCACGGCACTGGGCACGGCCCTCCTCCCATGACGGCATGGGGCTGGTGTGGCGTGGCACCTCCTCCGGCAGGCACGGGCATGGTGCGATGGACATGGCCCCTCCTTCAACAACGGAGGCACACAGTGAGTGGTCGGATCTATGGCGGGCCCACTCGGGCGGCGTGGTCGTGGGCGAGGCGAGGCTGGGCGTGGCGGGTGGTGTGGGTGGCGGGCCCGACTGAGGCTGCGGTGGGCTCCTTCCTCTCCCAGTGGTGGCACCTTCCTCCCCTAAGCTCCTCCACTAGCAGCGGCGCGCCCTCCTCCCCCATCTCCTCCTCGGCCACGTGGTGGCCGGATCTATGGTGAGCCCCACCGGCGCGGCGGATCCACGCCCGACTAGGATGGATCCGGCGGTGTGGCTGCTGGATCCGGTGGCTGGGAGTCGGATTCGGATGCGCCCTGGCCTCCTCCCCTCCCTCCTCCATCGCAGCGCAGATCTGGCGGGGAGGACGCCTCCGGCGGTGGATCTGGCGGCATGGTGCCCCCCAGTGGTGGATCCGGTGCGTGGCCCAGCCTCCTCCCCTCCCTCCTCCACGGTGGCGTAGATTTGGGGGGAGGACGCCTCCTACGGTGGATCCAACGGGATGGTGCCCGCCGGCGGTAGATCCGGTGCGTGGCCTAGCCTCCTCCCCTCCCTCCTCCACGACAGCGTAGATCTAGCGATGGTGGCTCCTCCCGGCGGTTTCGCCCCATGGGCTGGGAACGGGCTCGTCGGTGGGCTCGAGAATAGGCTCACCGGTGTGAAGCTAGTTATTTTTTTTTGTTTTTAACTGATTAACCGAGGTGGGTAGGAAACCGCCTCGGTTAAGGCCACATTAACCATGACCTTCACTCTAAGGCGGATGGCTTGCCCGCCTCGGTTAACCCCTTTTGCCCACATCGGTAAAAAATAGTGTAGTAGTGAGTGTGGATACTATGGAGACACTGCTATTGTTGCTGCAGCATCGATCGACAACGAACACGAGGCAAGCGGACGTGTTATTGCTACTGGTATGTGAGGATGTATGACTACTTCCACTACAATGAAGCGTGACGTTGGGCTGCTACAACTCTGGCTATATTTGTGCGTCTAGTGGTAACGATCGATGATCCTCTACTCGCATGTCGTTATCTTGGTTGAACATGGTAGATCCGCTAGTGTAGCATACCCATTTCGCGTACACTATCCTCTTGTTCTTTTCAATGTTACATTGGGATCATAATGTGTTGGAGAAGGTTTGCTATCCATATACCCGAGGCGGCTTAAGATCTTTGAACATATTGAGATTACAACAAAGTAATCTTACTCTCATCCTCAATAAGCTTGATGTTTAGAATCACATCAGGTTCTCCTAGATCTTTTAGGTCAAAACTCTTTGAGAGAAAAGACTTTGCCTTATTGATTGCATCAATGTTTGTGCCAAAAATCAGAATATCATCAAGATGCAAACATAGTGTAACAGTATGCCTCCACCATGGCGATAATACACACATTTATTAGCCTTAGTAATGGTAAAGCCGGCAAAGGTTAAAGTTCTGTCATACTTCTTATGCCATTGCTTGGCTGCTTGTTTCAAGCCATACAAAGATTTCAGTAACCTACACACCTTGCGCTCTTCTTCTTGTACTACAAGCCCATCAAGCTGATCCATATATATTTCCTCATCCAACTCATGTAGGTTGTATTCACATCCATTTGATGAACGAGAAGACCATATGAGGCAGCCAGGGAAGTAGCACTTGAATAGTGGTCATTCCAGCAACATGTGAATAAGTATTAAAGAAATCATTGCCTTGCTTCTGGGTATAACTCTTAGCCGTAAGCCGAGCCTTGTACTTGTCAATAGTACCATTAGGCCTAAGCTTCCTTTTGAACACCCACTTACAGCCCGCAGGTTTACAACAATTGGGTAACTCAGTTAATTCCCAGGTCACATTAGAAAGGGTCTAGTCCATCTCATTACGGACAACTTCTATCCAATCATCAACATTTGGATCATGCATATGCCTTTGAAATAGACAAGGGAGTATTGCCCACAAGGTACACAATGAAATCATCACCAAAAGACTTTGTAATCCTTGTCTCTTGCTCCTCACAGGAGCTCCATTGGCATTCTTCTCAAGGACTTCCTCATGTGGATGCTCAAATGACTCAACAGGAGACTTGATAGGTGTAGTAAAATGTCAAGCTATCTTAGAAGAAAATCTAGAATTTCTATGCATATCGTCTTTCGTACGAAATATATTCTAAAAATATAACATCATGAGATTCCATAATTGTATCAACATGCATATCAGGAACTTTAGATTTTACCACTAAAAACCTATAGGCAATGCTCTATTGAGCATATCCTAGAAAGGCCATCCATAGCCTTGGGTCCAAGCTTGCGCTTCTTAGAAATTGGTACGTTGACTTTCGCCAAACATCCCCATGTACGCAAGTATGAAAGTGACGGTTTCCTTCCAACCCAATCCTCATATGGGGTTGTCTCATTATTTCTATTTGGAATTCTATTCAGGACATGACTCGTAGTCAATAAAGCCTCCCCCACCATGCCTTAGAAACTAGCAGTGTCTAATTTGGCGTTCACCAAGTCATTCAGCATGCGACTTTTCCTCTGGGCAATCCTGTTTGATTCAGACGAATAGGGAGGCTTCCTTTCATGAATAATGTCGTGTTCCTTAGAATCCATCAAACAATCTGGGAAAATACTCACCACCATGATCCATCTTTAGACGCTTAATCTTCCTCTCTAGTTAGTCTCAACTTTAGACATATAGAATTTATAGTAGTATAGTGTTTCATCCTTAGATTTGACCAAGTAAACATTGCAAATCTAGTTGTATCATCAATTGAAGTCATGAAATATCTCTTTCCACCTTTTTTCCCTATTCATCTCGCATATATCAAAATGTATTAGCTCTAGAGGTGCCACATTTCTCTCACCTCTACCTGGTGAGGCTTTCCAGGTTGCTTTGATTGCACCCAACTATGGCACTTAGAACCTTTGACAATAGTGAAATCTAGAATTAAACTCATGATGGACAATCATAACATCAAACCAAAGTTAACATGACACAAACGAGAATGCCAAACACTCGCATTGTCATTATCCGTGCCACAAATATGGTTCACTGACTTATTACAAAAATTTGCTGAAGAAAAGCGAAACAAGCCCCTGCACTCATAGCTTTTACCAATAAATTGTCCACACTTCAACACCACTACTTTAGTCGACACTAACACTACCTTAAACCCGTCTCTGAAAAAGAAATCCCTTCTTTTCAGAAATCAAACATGAGAAAATTCAAGACTATGCATGCTCGGTGAAATTGAATACTCTCTCTTGTGCTAGAATTATGTATCCACTCTGAAGATTACATGCTACTGTGTCATGCAGTGAAGATGGGGAGTGCTTGAGTCGAACGAAACCTGAAGAAAAATACACTTTTTTTAAACTGACGTTATGGTACAGAGAGATAGGCTTTTGTTGTGTCAGCCTTAGACACTAGGGTAAAAGATATTCATCCTGCAAGACCAAAATAGGAACAGTAAAATACAACTACTCAACTAGAACATTTTTTTTGGACAAACTAGAACAAATTTTGAAGTATACGATGTCAAAGTATAACGGACGTTGCTAGTGTTACCTCAGTTTTGACTATGATATATATGCTTTCTTGATTCCGTGCAACCTTGCAGTGACTTCCTGCATGCAGATGCGCTCATTCGGGGACGGCTTGGTGCAGAGAAGCCCAATGTTTAGGACTGAAAGCAAACACTCCAAGCTTTTCTCCTTCATGGCCACTGAAGTTTCTGGACATAAATGTTGTTGCTCTACTAGTAGTTCAGGATCTATTATCTGTGGTATCCTGTCAGGAAAGTTCATCTCAACAAATTTTGTAATGTTCATCTCACCATTGAACATATCATCAGTTGGCCTCCTTCGCAAAAATATTTCAAGTAGAACAATCCCGAAGCTGTATACATCCCCAGCACTTGAAACAGCTCCGCCTGCAGCACACTCTGCAGATTGCACAAAAGAATTGTTTACTCCAATGATAAAAGTACATGAAAACATTACGCTGCATGAAACTTGGATTACCTGGAGGAATATACCCTATTGTTCCCATAATAGCGACAGAAGACGACATTAAATAAGTGGAGGACGATGCTGCAGAGTCAAACTTGAACCTTGCAAGACCAAAGTCTCCAACATGTGCTGTCATATTGTCATCCAAACGAATGTTGCTAGGCTTCAGATCACAATGGACAATAGTTCCTTGGTTGCCATGGTGGAGATACTCCAATAAATCTGCGACATCCACTGCAATACTTAACCTTTGAGCCATTGTGATGTAGCTTCGAGTTGATGTGTTCCCATCACATTGAGTCGAGTATAGTAGCTCATGCAAGTCACCTTGTGTCATGAACTCATAGACTAAGGCTTTGAAATCATTTCCATTGGAATCAATACTAGAGCATGCAGTGAGTATAGGAACTAGATTTCGGTGCCGCACCTTTCGTAGAGCATTACATTCTGCAATGAAGCTCTTTTGTGCCCCCCATGTCTCTAGGCGAAAAACTTTGACAGCAACCATGGTTTTGTCTTGGAAGAGTTCTCCTTTATACATGGAAGAATATCTTCCTTTGCCAATCAAATTGCATGATGAGAACCCGCATGTTGCTCCAGCGAGATCGTTGTATGAAACTTTGGGAAATTTGCTACTGAATGAGGGCAAAGATAACAGATTTGTCTTTTGTTTTCCTCTCCAGACAACCATTACAGTTATGACTATAGCAAGGGACAAAATGCAAGATAATGGGATCACTACTTTTTGTACAATGGAATGCCTCTGCTTACTTGAATTAGCAGGCATGACATGGCATGCGAGTAGGTGTAGCTCCAATGGCCCACCACAAAGCCCTGGATTTCCATCAATCCTCACAGCAGTCACATTACTGAATATCCCTTTCAATGGGACCTGACCGCTGATGTTGTTGAATGACAAATCTAGTTGCTCAAGGTATTGGAGGTTTGTGAGGGACATCGGTATTGACCCGGTCAAATTATTGTGAGACAAGTCCAGAACTTCTAGACCCCTTATGTTGCCTAGTGAAACGGGTATGCTTCCTCCGAAACTATTCTGTTGCAACCCAATGTACTGCAAGTTTTCACAATTACCTATATTGGTTGGAATGTCTCCAAACAGCATATTTGATGAAAGATTCAAATATATGAGCTCCTTGGCATAGCCTACTTCATAAGGGAGTTGCCCATGCAGGTGGTTTACAGATAAATCAATATGAAGGATTGCTGGAATTCCAAACATCTCTTTGGGAATACCACCATGAAGAAGGTTATTTGAAAAGTTACATAGTTGAAGATTTTGAAGATTTCCTATGCTTGCAGGTAAATGCCCTTCGAACTTGTTGGATTCAAGATAGAGATATAATAGCTGAGACAAGTTCGAAAGGGATGATGGAATAAACCCTGTGAAGTTGTTGTTACCTAAATTCATCACTTGTAAACTGTTTAGAGTTCCAAGCCATTCTGGAACCTTGCCTGTAAATTGATTCCCACCTAGTCCTAACCACATCAGGTTGCGAAGGTTTGCGATGCCAGAAGGAAAACCACCTGATAATTGATTATTCCCCAATAATAATACTGATAATCCTTGTAGCTTACTACAGTTGCCTAAGCTGTAAATAAACTCCCAGTCTTGACTGTTACGAGCTTTAAGTTTATTGAACTCAAGATTCAGCCCGTAGAGATTGCCAAGTTTGCCAATGGAACTAGGGATCACGCCTGTGAAACTGTTGTTTGACATATCAATCATGCGCAGATCTGATGCATTGGCCAACGAGGAAGGGATGTGACCATGGAAAAAGTTGTAGTCTATTAGAAGAATTTGGAGGTTGGGAAGAGAGCTACCTAGGCCAGGTGGCACCTCGCCGCTTAAATCGTTCATTGCAATACGAAAGGAAACGAGGGTTGAAAGATTCAGGATGGCCTGTGGAAAACTACCTACCAAATGGTTGTCACCAGTGTGCAGACGCTGTAGCTCCAGAAACATCGCAAACTCATGTGGGAAGTTTCCCTCAATGTTATTGTAATTGAAGCCCAGCACCTTAAGTGTTGTGATATTGGCAAGAGAAGGAGGGATGGTGCCTGAAAGATTGTTAGATCCAAGCTCCAGCTGTTTAAGTCCAAGTGGCAGGTCCGGAAATCCTCCAACGAGATTGTTCCCATTGAGCCATAGTATCTCCAGATTGGAACAGTTTCCAAAAGTAGGTATAACTCCATGTAACGTGTTGTTACTCAAGTAGAGGGTTTGGAGGCGATGCAACTGGCCAAGGGCTGCTGGGATTTGTCCACTGAATCTGTTTGTTGCTAGGGACAGCTGTTTCAGGAATGTCAGGGTTTCGAGCGAAGGAGATATTTGGCCGACTAAACCTCGATTTCCAAGATCAAGATTAGTGACACGATTGCTTGTCGTCCTGCACGTGACACCTTCCCAATTGCAGAAATGAGTGCTGTCATTCCAAGAAGCCAATGCTTGCTGTGGATCCAAACTGATCGAGTTCTTGAATTCAAGCAGTGATAGTCGATCTGTTTGGTTCCCAGGAGTGGTGTTGCTGCTGCTGCGGGTGACAGCATGCACGCTGCAAGCCATGAGCACCAGAAGAAACCGTCCAGTTGCAGCAGCCTTCATGGTGATAATAATAAGATAAGCAAGCGGGGTGAAAAATTCACAAGTGCAGAATTCCAGCGGCTTCAGCTTTCTGTCCCTACCTATTAAATGCAAGAGATGAAGATCAACACCAATTCCGACCAAAGTACTAATAACCAAAGTACTAATAACTTCAAAGTACTTCTAAAATTAAAATTTCAGAAAATAATAATGTACTTGTGCGTAAAACAAATTTGCATGTGGAGTACCTGAAACTAAAATAATGTCTTTCTTCTCGATTACGGGAACCAGGGAACGTATCTTATGGTCTTCTGTTCAGCAGTTATCGGTACTGTCAGAGAAAATCCAACTGCATGATGACGATCAATTATATCCTGCATCCAGAGTTTACAAAAATCAAAACCTTGCCGCATACTTACAATGATACAAAGATCAAAAGAAAACAAAGGCCCCGCTGACCCACAAACCAGAGAAAGAAGCGGTCACCTAGTTACAGAAATCGACATGCTTGGATCGATGCCCAGCAGTCGAAGTCGGAGGGGTATCGCCGGCGAGGAAGAAGTCACCTTCTTGCATGGGACACACGGGCCGGTCGAGCTAAAGGGCAGCTACAGCTATGAGCTACCCCTTCTTGTGTGGTTTGTGGTCTGCACACTGACTTTTTATTTCTGGTCCTGTTTAGTTCCCAAAAATTTTCACCACAAACTGTCACATCGAATCTTGCGGCACATGCATGGAGCATTTAATGTAGACGAAAAAAAACTAATTGCACAGTTTGGTTGGAAATCGCGAGACGAATGTTTTAAGCCTAATTAGTCCATGATTAGCCATAAGATGCTACAGTAACAAACATGTGCTAATGATGGATTAATTAGGCTTAATAAGTCCGTCTCGCAGTTTCCAGGCGAGCTATGTAATTCGTTTTTTTATTAGTACCCGAAAACCTCTTCCGACATCCCCGAAACATCTGATGTGACATTCAAAAAATTTCATTTCACGAACTAAATGCGCCCGATGGGTGCCATTTTTGCCCCTTTCATGATGCCTTCTTGTAGAGACTAGAGATAACGGATGGGTGCTCTACGGCCACATCATCAAATATTGGCCATGCTTGCTTATGCTACAAGCAGCCCACAGTGGCTGCAGCTTATAGCTGAAGCTAGCTACAGTACCAAACAGGCCCACTGATGATCGATCCCCAGCAACAGGACGGCAACTTGCGCCATGAGCATAAGGATGCATCGTCCATAATTGGGGGTCACATCGACAGATCAAAGACGCCGTTAGGTGGCATTTTCTTCTATTTATTAGGACCGTACTGGTGCGTGCTACCACTACCAGCACTAAGCGCCGAACTTGCACTACGTCGGAGAGAGTTCGTAGAGGCTGCTGCAGCGGGTTCGTAGGAACGGCTGGGTCAGCCGTCCTACCCATTCATCTCTATAAATCAACGATCTCTAGCCGCCCTTAGAAATTATTTTGTAGGGACGGCTAAATATTTGTAGGGGCGACTAGAAAACGATCTACCTCTACAAATTCTTGCCCAAAAATGAAGAATTTGGATCAAAAAGTAGCAAAAAAAATTATCCGAGGAGACACCACCGGGCAGCCACACACGTGCAAGTCATAAGTCAGACAATTTTTGCATGAAAGCCCAAAAATGAAGAATTCGGATCCAAAAATAGCAAAAAAATTTTATCCGAGGAGACCCCACGGACCACACACACGTGCAAGTCGCAAGTCACACAATTTTTTCGCGTGAAAAACACGCACTTCATGGCCACCGGGATCAAACCCGCAACATTATCTCACCTCGCGTGTTACTCCTTTAATTACTCCAACCCATACTCCCTTGTGTCCATATGAAATATTCTCCCTTTTTTACTATACTCATTTGATTTTGAAATGAGTGTTTGGGACCCTAAACGATTTAAAATGAAAATGTTTTCAACTACAAAGGTGTATAACTTTTCGATATCTACAACTTTCGTTTTGGTTGTTTCTCAATCCGAGGTTGTTTTAAAAATTCGAATTTCAAATATGAGAAATCCGAACGTAATTTTCCCTGGATAGATGATTTCAAATGAAAAAGTTGTCAACTACAAAGTTGTATAACTTTCGAGAGATTTATAACTTTTGTTTTGGTTATTTTCTCCATCTAAGGTTGTTTAAAATTTCAAATTTCAAATGTGAGAAATTGAAATGTAATTTCCTTGGATAGATGATTTCAAATGAAAAAGTTATCAACTACAGAGTTGTATGACTTTTCGAGATCTAAAACTTTTGTGTTGGTTGTTTTTCCATCCGTGGCCGTTCAAAAATTTGAATTTCAAATGTTAGAAATTCAAACGTAATTTTTCTTGGATAGATGATCTCAAATGAAAACGTTCTCAACTACGGTTTCTATCTCACGCCAATAAATCAAATGCTGTATACGGAACGAACGAGGGCAGAAACAAGCAAAGCAGGTGTTCTACAATTTCCAACCTTCCGTCGGTGAGACATCCCATCAAGAGAAAATAGCACTTAATGCGCCAGATGTGACATGAAAAAATAATGGCAGATGCCGCGTGAGAGCTCTGCTTCTTTCTGCCCTCCTTCGTTTCGTTTACTGCATTTCCATTACACTCTCCGTCGAGAAACACTGTCATTTTCGTTTTCCAAGAGATAACTTTAACTAAATGTATATTAAAAATATTAATATTTATGGTATATAATTAGTATAATTGAAAAGATCTTTGAATCTAATTTTTTAATAAATTTATTTGGAGATACAAATGTTGCCCGTATTTTTTAGAAATCGAGACAAACTTGCGACACGGACAAAAAAAAACGACGGTCTTTCTGGGACGGAGGGAGTATATTCTTATTGTGGGTCAATTCTTGCCTTTTGTCCTTCCCTTTCGTTGAGGGAGGGCAGAAAGAAGCAGAGCTCTCACGGTGGCACGCCCTCACACGGCTCTACCGCGTCGTCTCCACCGAGTCAAGTCTCCCCTCACGGCCTCACCAGTGAGCTCCAGGCTCTCGCTGACCGCGTGGTCCATCGGGCAGGTGTGTTCTTCCTCTGCTTGTATAGGCGCGGATCAGGGTAGTTAGATAACGCAATAGCTTACAGACCGCGCAGTCAGGTCTATCACCATCAAGCTGCAAAAATCAAACAACTAACAATAGCTTACAGATATACCATAAGGTAGAGATCAAACTGATTTCAGTAAATACTAAATAATTGTTCCATTCAGCAAATATCCATACAACAAAGAAATATAGAACAAATATTAGCCGGTGCCGATTCCATGGCCATCAGATTCCATGACATCCGAGGGGCAGGCATAGGTTGCCTTTCCATTTTGGATAACATTGTAATAGTGAAGATACTTGCTGCATGTAGCAACTGTTGCCTTCATAGCTCTGGTCTTTGCAATATCAATCCAAGGAGAAAGATCAATAAATTCTGAGATGTGTAAATATGAATCTCTCGGGCATTATACTTTTACTATCCCTTTGTTAAAGAATAAATGAGACTAAAGGCACATCACCAATCATGTAATCCTATATAGCAAGATGCAGCAGCATATTCAAAAAGGAAAAGAAACATTGAAAACAGAAGCTGGATGTCAATATGCAAATAATTAGAGAAGGATACCGAATAAAAACATAGATATCAGCTGCTGACCTTTTAGCATGAATTGTTGATGTGCCTTTCTTATACAGCATTAGATATCCCCATTTTAGAGGTGGCTCTATATCAGGGGCGGTTGGATCTAGCCCCTAAAAATAGGGCCATTTGTCGTAGGACAGCTCGTACCTCATTCATCCAACGCTTGACCATGACGCTGGGACTGTCATGACCCGATCATGACATGTCTGTGAGCATAAGCATCATGATCAGCATATGCATTTGAATCTCAAGTTAAGAAAACAACTTGCATTGAAATCTGCATTT